TCTCTGTGAGTTCAAGGCCAGCCTGGTCTACATAGTGAGTCCAGGACAGCTGGGGCTACAGGGAGACCCTGCTTCAAAAAGACAAAAAAAAAAAGACCAAAAAAAAAAAAAAAAAAAAAAAAAAAAAGAGAAGCAGGTCAAAATCCTACTTACAAGTTACAGAATTTCTTCCTATTCCTCTTTCTCAAAGAGACTAGTAAAAGCAGTAGCGGATATTCATGTACCTTTTCAAGTGATGTGAGCACAGCATGCTTCCTCTCCTTGGGATGCTCCCATTCTCCGGGATATCTGTTTTTGGACCTTTCTGCATATTAGCTTCATTATTAAAGAAGAACGGCCAGAGTAGGTTAAATTTCTGCCTCCATAGCATCATCACATGTTCCTTGACCTTAGCAGTATTATACTATACTTGTTTACATTGGGTTTTCTTTATATTATATCATGATGGGTTCTTAAAACTGTACTTATTAATACACATTAATTTTCATATTAGTAAGCTTTACTATGACATTTCCATACATGCACATATTATGTTACATTTGTAGTTAATCATACTAAAAGAGTTCAATAATAGTAGCAGATATTACTAATTGTTTATGTAATATCTAGTCCCTCTCTTCCTCAGTAACTAAGAACTGCAGTTTCTGAAGGGTGCCCGAATCTGCCCACTTCTGCAATGATTTTTGTCAGTAACTGGTTCAAGGATAAGCCCATTTCTGAGCAGTTAGAGGCAAGGTAAAGTCTGCTGGTGAGACTTCTTGCAAAGGTCATTCTTCATTAAAATGAAGAGAAAGACCTCACAGAGAGAATGACCTTTTTTTACTCACTGCATCTTATTTGTCTTTGAAGTTGCTATGTGAAGATGTTGGCTTAGAACTGTATAGGGTCCTGCAACCCTGAGGGTAGGGTCAAGAAGATCAGAGATGCAACACGGGACTTTAATATCACTTGGTCCTGATCAGCCGAGTTAGAGGCATGTCTAGATTCATCAGAGCACTTCCACTTGGGTATGTCTATTCAAAACCACATTCATTTTAACTGGGATATTTAAAAATCATAGAATTTGGAGATTTTCCCTATCTACTTACTGTTTAAGATTTAGTCTGCCTTGTTATATTTTGATAATAACAATGCTAGAAATATAGATAAGACTAAATACACAGAAAATAATCACAATGAACTTAAGTATCTAAATATATGTTAGCTACCATAAGGAAAGACTGAGAAAAAGACTCATGGCTATCTCACAATGCAAAATATATTCAGCCCAACTTCTCTACACTCTTAAACAGTCCTATTCTGAAACTATAGGCAAACTAGTGGCTGTGAGCCCCTGTAAAACAAAACAAAACAAAATAAAAACAAGTTACAGATGTCTAATGACCAATGGCACAGAGAGAATATTCTCATTCTAAAAGGAAGGACAGGGACATAGAAAGGAAAAAGCAAGACCAAAACAAGAGTGAAACCCAACGGGGCAAACATTAAACTCTGTAGCTCCAAGTCCGGCATCCATAGCTCTTGGTGGCATCATTTGAGCATGGATAGGCTAAGCTCTAGACCTGCTCCTTCAACTCTGCCATTTGTGT